TGGGCTACGTTAGACTTCAAACATTGTGAATTTATTTGCTTTATTACATGATGTAGTCTTGGAATGGAAATTTTAATTTTCTCCATATGTATAAAAAGATATTTGATAAACTAATACAAAAAATATACTAGAACAATGAACCTAAGACTAAAAACCTTTAAAAATATAATATAATAACTAAAATATATTATTAAAGGCATTAGCAATTAGGCAAGGTTCCGAAAATATTGGCAGCTTTCCCACTTTGAATAGCTAGATTAATTCTTTGTCTGAGGTAGCTGCCAGTTCTTCGGGTCTCCTGTGATGTCGACTAACCGTTTTGTTATTTCTTCAAAAACCTTATAGTGCTAGGACACCACCGACCAAGGGTCTCGACACCGAATGGGATAAAATTATATTCGGAGCCTACCCTTATATTTGCAAGCTTTAGCCTTTTCAGCCACTTTACAAGCCGCACCAGCTCTGTTGTTGGTTCCATGTAGATGGGAAGGCGCCAACGTGTCTGAACCGGTTGCATCCCATACCAGCTCCCGGCCCATCTTGCATGGAATCAAACTCATACCGTCCGGTCTCATGCCATCTTCTCTTGCAATACCAGTTGGCTCAAGTAGACTTGGCACGTTGACGGTGGCAAGGGACTGGCGTATGATATCGTTAAGTACGGCATGTCTGGAGAAGCGGCCTGCATTTTGGCATGACAGTCCGTGATGTCCTAGCTTGTCGACATCACTACCACAGGGACATTTATGACCGGAACTTCAAGCCATAGACAGGTTACGATTCGGAGCGTTTGGGGCTCAAGAAATGTTCCTCTTTTTGAAGAAAGGGTACGCGTGAAGCCAGTAGCCGGCCTCATGCGTATCCACGGCCAAAAGCCTAGCACGCGCCAAACCTATGCTACAGCTCAAAAGATTGTCATAAGTCAATTTGCAATCTCGTCCTAGCTCCTCTGATAATTTGGAAAAACGAACTGGAAATTTTTGACCTGGGCATGCAATTAAGAAAGCCTTTCTATCTTCTTCCAAGCAATCTCAAAGTTTGAAGGGGATGCACTTAAAATTTTACTAATGAGATTTGCTGAACTATGGAGCAGAAGATAGGAAGGCTGGTAAAGCGACACTGGAAATTTTGTGACTTCCTAAAAAACCATAACATAGGGATGCGTTGGTCCAAAATTGCTCGTTCAGCTGCATATTAAAAATCGATTCTAAGCTAATTTTGTTTAAGTTGTCTACTTGTGTCAAAAGGTCTGGGTAATACCAAAAGGAGCACGTACGTAAATTTTGGGACGAAAACATAGAATTTTAAGATGCAAAGTGCATGATGTGGACTAATTTCAAGCAGACGGTCCGCAGAATTTTGAAATTTAGTAATTGAAGTATTAATATATTCAGAAATAGATTCATCAAACCTAAAAGGTAAAGGAAATTATTGTTAAGTAATTTAATATTTGGAGATAAAATATTCGAGTCGAAGTTATTTATAAAAAGTTCGCATTTGCTAAAGTTAAGTTCCAAACCAATGGCTTCAAATTTATTTTTGATTAAAAAAGGTCCGAAAACACAATATCCACATCACCTCCTAGGGTTCCGTCGTCCAAATACTATACGTTGAATTTAGTACTAAAATTACAGGGTCAAGGGGGTCACCTTGTCGACAACCTACAACCGAGGACAATTCATTAGAATGATATAATATATTATATTTGTTGGTAACTGAGAAGAAGATCCGTTAACAGGGTATCCCTATTTACCGAATTGAATTCATTTTTGACATCAATTTTGAGCAACACGTCAGGCTGTTCGTAAATTAGGAAAGAGGGAAGGGATCACCCACAGAATGCGATGAAAATTTGATGCAAAAGTTGGGGTGAGATTCCATCTAAACCTGCAGCCGAACATGGTTTAAAAGATAAAATAGCATCCGTAACATCTTTGTTTTGAATTCGAAGGCTTGTATGAGCTGCTGTTGGTGGGTCGAGAAAATATAGGTTTACTGGAGCTGGAGGATGTTTTATCCGTAAGGTCTGAAGGGTATCTGGTGACAGCACATCGAACTTATTTACGTTTTACCCTTACTTTAATCTTAATCTCTGAGGTATCACCAACAACAGACGTTTGTTGTTGACATATTCGAATTATTAACAAAATAACGTAATAATTAACGCAAACACAAACAGTTCATCAAAAACTACGCCGTATTGAAAATCTACTAGGTTTACTATCGAGAAATTTTTTTTAACAGCTATGGAATAATGTATAGTTGTACGGTGTAAAGGATTAAAGTTTATTATTGTAAATTAAAATGAAGTACCTGGAGGACCGAACTTTGCTCGGTTTGTTTTTTTTTGGTAAATCATGTATTTTGGAAATTACATGTAGATACAAATTACTGAGTAATGAAATATGTATAATATTTTTCGATCTTACCGACGTAATAATAAGAAAATATGAACTGGTGTTTCTCACAAAAGAAAGAACTTTAAAAAAAGGGAAAAAAATCCGACCGAGCTCTAATTCTATATTCGAATGATATTTTTCATTCCCTGAAAACAGGGACAAAAGGACATTTTCTAAAAATGAAACCTATATTCATTTCGCCCTATATCAATTTTTCGCCTTCGAATCTACGCACATACAAAATGTCATGAAAATCGTGGAGCCGTCCGAGACTCCGATTATATACAGCGTGTCGTTACCATCGCGACAATAAATGAACACACGTCTAACGCAACTTACCAATAATCAAAAAAAAAATATTAACGTTTAACAAAATCCATAATTAAAAAAAATATTTTTCAAACAAACTAATTAAGTAAATATATATATATATATAGAGCCATGTTAGCATGCAGTCTAAAACGTTGCTTCTGCTTTATGTTCGGGCGAAAACTTTCTCTACAGCCGTTTGCCAATATGCAGATGGTCATCCAGTAGTGTTTAGTGTAATGATTCGGAAGATAAGTAAATACGTGTTTAGCATTATGTATAAATTTTACTGCCACGCATTCTTGATTTAACAGTGAAAATAAAAAGTTATATATATATTTTGGATTTTTTGATTGATGTTTGTAGACTATACAAAATTTCATTGGGCACAGAGTCTGTACAGGTGTCTGAACTTCTTGGCGGAAAGAATATCGAGGCCATCAATGAAACCTTTGATATACAATAGTGGCATATTGTCATCACTATCTGTCCAGAAACTGGCACATCGCGAACATCATGATGATGAGCATCCATGTTGAATCCATGACCTAAGAATTAGGAGGAACGCATGGTCTATGCCCTCACATATTATATAAAATAAATTCATTTATGAGTAATCAACTATAATTATATTAATTTATGATAACAATTATTCTGTGTGCCTATTGCATTGCCTATGGTACTGAATAATAAATATAATTATTGACAAGTTTAAACGTCACTTCTATATTTTAAATAGGAATGTTTTAAATTAATGTATTGCTTATTATTGATTTCCAATGCATTTAATAAACTTTTTAATTTTTGAGCACTGCATTGAAGGACTTACGTCATCACATTAAAATGTCCCATAGTCACCCAACCTCTATATTTTGTATTATAGCTACAGAATTCTGTGAACGATTCTCTTTTTGTGGATTGAGGAGTGAGTAAACAATAATATATTATTTGATCTTTTATCAAATAATATCGTGTACAATTGTGGACTTTAATTTTTCATGTAATATCATTCATCATATATAATAGTAATCGATTAGGATTGTGATGGATATAATCGCCGATGATGAAAAAATATTGAAACATTTCAGAAAAAAGTAATTGCTTCAACGTTGCTTGTTAGTGCGTCATTTAAATTTAAATTGGACTTTGAATTGGTATTTATGCCGATACAACTTTGTAAAATCTTTAATTTCAATATTTTGCCGTGATAAAATTTATTGAAGAGAGATTGAAAACTGACACAATTCATCAATTTATACCACGTCTCAAATTTAAATGATGTGTGTAACAAGTCAACCTAAGATTATCTTATTTCTATAATGTATCAAAATTCTGTAGCCGTGAATTTGCCAAATAAACAATTTAAGATTTTCTTTTCTAAATATGTAAATAAGACTGGCCAAATTTCTCACCACTGCTGGGGCTAGAGCGCGTCTGGTCGCGTCAGAAAGGCGCGGGTTCGAATTCGAATTTGAGCAGCGGCGAAAATTTCCGATAATTTTTTTTACAAAATTTTATGTTCATTTTTAGAACAAATATTATCATTGAATATTAAAAATTTCATTTCTATTAAATAACAAAATAGATTTTATGCATAACATTACTGTTATATAATATAATGTGCGTTTCTTTTTTTTACAGCTATTTTGTCGTTGTATCTGAGAAACGTACTATGCCTCCACGAAAATGCTTCAACGGTTGTTTATCATATATTCATAATGATGTGTTATACGATGCCATTAATGGGAGCCATTTTAGCTGATAACTTTATAGGGCGTTACAGGTGCTCTCTAACTCCTAACTTCTAATTGATTTCATGTTAATTTCAAATATCATAAAGCATTACGATTATTTTTCCTGCATAAAACTTGTACGATTTATCAGATATTACTTCCTTACTTGTTTTAATCGAGCTTATTTTATTCAAAAAGTGGTTAATGTTAATCGTACCATTGTGTCGTTGCTGTTTACTACTAGTTATTTTAATTTTTAAGTAAATAGTTTTGAGTTTGGGCACTTTTCAATTAGTACTTTATTTTTATCCATTAACACAGGTTTCTATTATTTTCAGAGTTATTTTATATTTCTCAACAATTTATTTGATTGGGACGATATTGACGTGTTTTTCGGCTATACCACCATTAATGCTACCTCCCACGTGAGCACTTATGTTATTAATAAGATCAATACAACTATTTGCCTAAAAACTTTTCTTCTTAACCTTCCTTTTATTATTTAAAACACATGGATCTTAAGGGAACGATATTATTTTTGATTTCCAGTTCCACTTCTATGATTGGTTTAGCCCTAATTGCTACTGGAACTGGTGGTATAAAACCGTGCGTGGCAGCTTTTGGCGGTGATCAGGTTTGTGAAAATCCCAACATTAATGAATACGTTATGGTTTATTATTTTTGTAAAAAAACAATTACTGAACCTATATCTGATCAATATCATTATCATGATTCGAATTTGTAAGTGTACACAAAGACATTACTTTTTGTACAAGTCAAGTACAAAAGGAAGGTAACCCGTTAGGTTATTTTAAATAAAGAAGGCGCTATAGCAACTCGGTTGCGATATCGACATCACTATTCATATTTCCATCTCGCATTCTTCTGTACATAATCGACGGCTAGACTTTTGTGGTCCTATGTAAGGATGAAAACAAGAAAGAAATAACGGCCGTTGCGTTTATATCCCTTCTACAGGGCCCTGAACTTTAAAAGACAAATCTTTCGTAATGGGATCCGCTATGGAGGGCTTCCTTAGCTCGTACCCGTGCCAGATTTGGAAATGAATGACTTTACACGTTCGAGGCCATGCGGAACCCAAAGCCCTTAACTACAGCCGCATACAAGAGTCTAATAGCAACAGTCGAGACTCAGTGGCCATTGCGCCTTCCGCGCCTCTCTTAATGCTGACCTAGCCTAGCATGAGAATCATAAACGCTGCTATGAAGTATGAAGGTAACGGCCGGAAACCACAAACACAAATTTAAAAGTAATCGGCCCCCAAGCCTCATGTGCATGGTGGTAACGTGTATTCTACCGCCAACTTCGTACTAATTTGTGGTGTATTAAATATTATAATTAGTGTCCGACCGAAAGTTCGGTTTCGGTCGAGTTTCGGCAAAAAAACTAGTTTCGGTTTCGGCGCCGAGCGTGCCAAAACTACTAAATTGCTTTCGGGAGCTCTAGCGCAATGATCAGTCATGATCAGCGCGGTATAAAATAGAAATAATGTCTGACGTGCAACTTTTCACAAATTGTCACTAAAAATTTAAGCAAGCGAAACTTCTTTGAGAAAATCGGCACTGAAATTCTTGTGAGCTTTTACATTTTGTTTTTTTTAATACTAAAGGTTATAGAAACTGAGTTATAAGTTTAGAAGAAGTTAATTTGTTCTTAAGATAAAAGTGATTTATTTTATTTGTTTATTACTCTAATATTTAGTCTGTACCTATTGTGATATTAGGTAACAACTTAAATGGGTAATTTAATGTTTAATATATCCATTAATATTCATGAGAGAACCTAACTACTCAAATAAACCTACTTTAAGTCACCACCTATTTTAAGTCTTTTTAAGGTGCAATTAATATTTTTTTCTTAAATTGTGTGATTATGTTAATTATCATACCAATAAGTGAAAATGTCGAAGACTGCATAACTATATGATATAAAGATATTTATTTTTCCTTCAAAACATGATCCTTTTATGGTTTCGGCCGAAACTGAGACTGTTGCCGAAATTCGGTTTCGGTCGTAAAAATCAGTTTCGGTGGGACACTAATTATAATTGAAGAATTGCTAGCTGACGATTAAAGTGACGGGTGTCCGGTGCTTTACAGTTCCGTTCGGATTTCTACGACTTATAAGAGAAAAAAAAAATAGGCTAAAATAACTTTTGACCGATATTGAACAGAACCGAACTGGGTACACCTTAAACAACTTCAACTATAGGTTAATTATCGAATATCGGAACACCGAAATACCGCATGGTATAAAATAGAAATACTGGAAGATCGTGAGCCATCATACACTGCCCACTGGCAGTTGTTTCGAATTTTGAACTTAGAACCCCGTGAAACCACCACCGTTATTTAGATCTAATAGCTCCACACTCGCTTTCGACGACTTCGGAAAATACAATGCCTATCAAAGAACCAAGAGCAGTTTAGTTTAAAAAACTTCTTTCAATAATAAAATTACAAAAGAGAAAGAATATTCCGATGTTTTTTACGAGTGCCTTGCAAAACTGAAACAATAAAAGTAGTGACTAGATAATCCCATTCATTGTAACATGGAAGAAGCAGTTACTAATGATTCCAAACAACAGTTTCGACTACCCGAAGACAACCAGCGTCTGCAAAGGTTCTTCTCGACGTTCTACTGCACCGTCAACCTTGGGGGCTTTATGGGCATGGTGGTAACCCCGGCACTTCGACGTAGCGTAATGTGTTTTGGTGATGACACATGTTACGCCCTCGGTTTCGGCTTTCCGGCGCTGCTCGTTCTCATCTCCATAGGTAAGAATAGTTCTTAATACGTGAGAAGGTGCTAAGCGAGCAGGTGGTTCACATGATGTTTACTTGACGCCTCCTATGGACATTTCTAACTCCTTTAGGGTGGCAGACGCGTTACCAACTTTCAAAAAAGTTAACCAAGGTTACTCTATTAACACGCAGTTCCTTACTCGGCTTCTTTTGTACAGGCACCAAATTTCTTGAGCCCTTTGCCCGGAGGCTGTCGGAGCCACTGTCAATAAAAGGCGGCAAGCATCCTGGCCCTGGTCTGTGATTCCACCGCTTACCACTTCCCAGCCGCTCCACTTCTACCACCCTCAACCTCAACCCCGCACTCTGCTTGCACGCCCTCGTGTGCTTGCCTTACACCACAGGCCGGTGCAGTATGGGTTCCTCTTGGTTTAGCCGAGGGTAGTCAGGCCATTGACTAAACCCCTCCACAACGACAAGGGGCCCGGTCGGAGTGGTCCCTGGACTAGCTAGCCCATTCGTGTCTCAACTGAAGGTGTTGCGTGGCCCCACCTTTATAGGAGTATATAAATATATGAAAAATTTTATAAATATTTTTATCAACATATCCCCAATTTAGGACTTCATTTTCAAATATGCATCACACTTTTGAGTTGGAAAAAGAATATTGAATATAAAGTGAAAACACATTAAAAGAGCAACATGTTATCGTGGGTACCAATATAAACACATATAAAATATACGTGTTATTGTATTTTGTGATTGGAGATACAAAATACTATTACGAATATTAAAGTAATGAAATACAGAGGTATCGTGGGACTCACGGTTGAACGGGTTGAATAGAAGTTCCTGATACATTTTAAGGAACTTCCTTTCAACCATCATTAATTATTTCATGATTATACCGTATAATAAATAATATGAAACAAGTATATGAATTGGAATAAACTATCACTATTTGAGAGTACTCTTCTAATAAAAACCATCGTTGAGATCATCATTAAATTGTTATCATTTACATAAATTAGATCATGAACAATTAGTTTTATAACTTACCTTAAGAATTTCAGTGATATATTTACAGTGATTTTTGTTGCGGGCAAGCCTTGGTATAGAATAAAGCAGCCTCGTGACAACGTTACCTTAAAATTTGCTTCGTGTGCATGGGTGAGTGATTTTAAACGGTCGTGTGGCATATATATTTAGACGTTCGCCTCAGGTCGAGCTGCTAATGGCCTCAGAGTTTTCATCTTATTAACTGTATGTTTAAAGCTAAAAGAATAATATTATATTATGGTTCACAACAATATTCTCGAAGTAATTTTAATTGAAATGATAATTTCTTACTTTTGATGTGATGATACATATATTCTTATTTTGTATATGTTGCATGACTGCGGAGTTATGATATTTAATTTATTTAATGAATATATTATGTTAAATAGTTTAACTTAAGTTGTAGATGTCTCCTAATTTTAATAAATTATTAGCGCAATAATTTGTTATATATGTTATTTAGTTGTAAATTTTAGATTTATATATTTACATACTGTAAGTTACATTCAACGAAGTGGAGTAAAAACATGCCTTGTGTAATCGATAAGCCAGAGTGCTTTTGTGCCTAACATCGTCGCAATCCCTATCAATCAGCATCACTTTTTCAGTTAGTGCCTGTCAATGTATCTAAAAGTATTTTATAAGAGCATTGCTATAAGCAATTAAATATGTTATTCTGACGTAATGGTATACTCAGTGTATATAATATTCTAGTTAGGCAAGTATGATATGCTTTTGACGGAATATATACTCGTATCAAGGCATTGTTATCAAATGTAGCTAAAGAACATATGGCGTAATTGCCTATAAACATTTTGTAATTTTAATCATATGGTAAATCTACTACAATTTTACCGTTTATAGAAATAGACAGTTTTGATGAAATATAATATAACATATAACATAAACTATATGTTATAAACACAAAATATTTTAATATGAAAACAGTGCTATCAATTTATTCATAATTATTACGACATTATTTCGAAATAATAAAAAATAGACCAGACCGTTATTACCATGACCTAAGTCTTGAAGACAAAGTTTCACAGGTCAGACTCAGTTCTTTGGCATGTGTGTTCAAGGCATGTGTCGGAGTTAATGCGGGCATTGTAATAGTTATTTTATCTCTTTTCGTCTCAATTGTTTTATTATGAATTTTATTTTGATCTTCGCAAAATGAATTTAAAGTAGAGTAACCGGCTGTACCTGCTCTGTAGCAAGGGTATTTCGCACCGTGCGTAGAATAACGTTCTGTGGTGACATAGAACAAATTTGATTTTATGGTCGAAAAGTCTTAATTATTGTCTACGCTTTCAGATAACATTTTTTTTTCATCTGACTTATTGCGATTCAGAATAGAACAACGTTCTATCTGATTTGTGCCCCGCAGTACAAGGACATAATTATGTACGTTTACACAGTTTTTTTTTGTACTGACTAGACTAAGCTTACTAATGTAATAGACGAGTGTAAAATACTCTATTAGAGTCAATTGATAATTATTGCAGTCCACTTCGGGAATTAAAATTAAAAATAAACGCTATAAATCCCTAAAATTAGTTTCATTTATAATGTATAATCGCGTAAATACAAGAAATTAACATGTGTCCTATTATTTTTTGGAATGTTCCTTTGACCAATGATATATAAACGTGTATATGTGACACTTGTGACCCATCAGTTTTTGCCATTTTCCGTAGGAAAACGTCACTATTACACATGAAAGCTCTTATATCTTAAATTTATATAATAATTTATTCAAAAAGTATACTGTTTGTTAAATATCTAATCATATTACAAACCTCAAAAATTGTAATAGTAACTGCTATTACAATTTTCACTTTGTTCTACGCAGGGTGCGATTTGTGAATAGTCCGCGCGATGGACAGACTTCACTAACGTTCGATTAGTTTCTTTTTTGTTAAAATAGTAAAGTAAGGTATCAAAATAAAAATCCCACTGCTGGGCAAAGGCCACCTCTGTACAAAGGGTATTAAGTCATAGTCCACCACGCGACCCTACTGCGGATTGGCAAATTTTAAATATCATTCGAAATATTTTTTATTTCGAAAATATGCAGGTTTTCTCAACATGTTATCACCGCTAAGTATGAGATAAGTGTGCTCTTAATATTAACAATGTCATTGCTGCTCACCGGGGCTTAACCTCTGGTTGAGTCCGAGCGTTTGCTTTTAATTCAATGTACTCAAGCAACCTGAAAAGGAGCTTATGTTCCCTCAATAATAAAATGAAATACAAGCAAAACAACACTGCTTGACCTCAAGATGGCATAGGCATCATTCAAGATTTTTGTACGTGTAACAACTCGCGTTGACCATAAACGCTAAAAACGTTTTAAAACGTCGGGAATTTTAATTAAAATAAAACGCGATAAAGCCCGCAAAATAGAAGCTCTTCATTCTATTATATCTTTAAATTATATCCATTTAACCTTGTCCCTTCATATGTTATGTTGTAATTCTTTCTATTTCATAGCTCAAAAATCTAAGTAACCATAGGCGGGCTTTTAAACATAGTGTGGGAAACGACGACATTCCCGTTGTCAAGGGCTTTTCCCAAAATAAGATTGATAAGCCCCTTCTATAGAATCCTTGATATTTCCTCTTTTCTTCTCGTGACATCATTTGCGACAGAATAGATATTGTTGGGGTTGTTAACGCGGGCACTCAGGTCGGCTAAATCTTGGTCGTCTCTAACGAATAAGCTTTATGAGAAATTTCAAAGGGCGGTACAGTCACATTAAGCTACAAAATTTTCTAACTGCACTTTCATTATTCGTACAATATAAAAGTGGCAAATATCATTCTGCCGGATGGTTGCAGTGTCAAAAGTTTGATAACTAAACCCAAGATTACCGTGAGTTGTAAAAGCCTCTCAATCAAAGGATTTATGTACTCATTACATCATATTTTCGATACAAATAAAAAAAGTTGTGTCGAGTCTCCGATGGTATTAATTTTCTCGATTGCTTCCTCAAAATTAATTAATTTACTTCAGAAGTTTATGTAATGAAAATTTAAAGCTCCGCTATGAGACTAAATGTCGAGTGCCACTATCAATTTCTATGAAAAGAAGCGCTCGACCGTCCTTTACAAGTGGAGGCGAATAAAACAATTTTACTCCTTCTCTATAATACGTAACAAGGTGTACCTTGTTACGTATCGCCCTACTGGTCGCAACTTCGGCTCGCGTATGTAGCTTCGAGTATATTTTTCTTTTTTTTATGTGAAAAGTTGCCAAACGAGCTGACTGTTCACCTGATGTTAAGTGAGTACCGCCGCCCATGGACATCTCCTACACCCGAGGGTTTGCAGATGCGTTAACATTTTTGGAAATTGGGCTCCGGCTACCTGACTCACCAGACGAAACGCGAAAGTATTTCTCATACTTCCACTTTACGCCGGTCTTCTGTGAGTGAGGTCGTGGTCGAGTGTTGCCTTTATCGTAATCTTTTTGCAAGCTCTGTGTCAAAAGGGTTTAACATATTCCTTAAGACTGAACACTAAACTGAACTCCATCTTCCAACAAAGAACGCAAACCACTGAATCCCCCAGTTCACTAATTATACGGTGACTTTTCATTCGAATACTATGCAATATGTCACTTAGTTGCTATTATTGATTTAACTGTTCATGTACTTGTGAAGTAAAGCTTGTCATCAAGCGTGCGTCATACGCGACATAAATTAATATCGCTGTAGAGGAAAATTCGATCTCAGACAATTTGTTAGCAATTAGTACAGAGCACAGTGCCCTCATAGGGTTGAAACAATTTCAAACAGCGGTATCTGAAATAGTAAAATAGAAATTCTCGTTTTATGACCGTGAATTGCTCACTTAAACTTATGTATGACTTTGCTTAGTTGGAATTGATAGAATAATGTCTAAAATAGAGGCTTGTGTATATTCATATCTCTGTATTGTTACCTACTACTTATGTAGTTCGACCATTGAACGACCAACAATAACCTTGTAAGATTTCTAATCTCGTATGTAATATTTGTATACTAGTGAAATATGGTACGACGTAATAAGGTAAATTAATGTCTTTTTTTAATTATTATGATTAGGTGTTCAGAATGTAGTAAAATATAAAGTTTTTTTTTAAATATAGGTTACCTACTCATTTCATTCGATTTGCCAACCCTATATGGTTTGCAGCAATTTAATAAGCTTGCTTACTAGACGTGGAGCTTTATATGCCAACAACTTTAAAGGGAACAAGTCGTTGGAAATATCTCTAAAATATTTATACACCTTTTTAGTTTCAGTCGAAATTTGAAAACAGAAAGGCTAATGCAAACCCATTATGAAACATACTAAATGTTTCTTTTTTTTAATGTTACGTAACGGTGTAATTTAAATTCATGTAAGGTTACACCAGCTGGTTCGCTTAGTTATCAATATTTTTTTTGTTTTCGTAGTATGCGTTGAGACAAAAATTGCGCCACGACCCAACCACTGATGGCCCTCCGCTCGAGCACTGGCTTGACTACTCAGTTGACAAATATGGTCAAAAGTTGGTGGCCGATATGAAGGTGGTCTGCTCAATACTCTATTTATATCTTCCGGTGCCGATTTTCTGGTCGCTGTTTGATCAACAGGTATGTACGTGTATTCCATCATACTATGTTAACGTTGTAAACAGATAGATAATTGATAAGTTATATTTACATGTTACCAACTTAAGAGCGTTTACGTCTCTCCCGGAATATCAAGTTTTGTATAATCAATGCTAACTTGGTGCACACAAAAGCAAGCGTAGCTGTGTGTCGATGTGATTTGCTCTTTCATATTAAAAACAAACTAATTCCCTATGATTCTTTTGAATAGTTGACATCAGCAAATATTTAATTGGAATTGGGTAAAGAGCAGGACAGAATGATGATCCAACAAACAAACAAACACAATTTTGCATCTTTTAATACTAAAAAATAAAATTTTGTTGGCCCCCGCTTAATTCTAAATCAAGTGACGGATTTTGATATGGTTTTCACTACCTAACTAATAATAAATACTAATTTCATATGTACTACTAGCTCACTACGAGTGTACTAAATTTTCATCGTGCTTAAAAAGTAGCCTATAGCCTTCCTCAATAAATGGGCTATCTAACAATTAGCAAGTTCAAACAAAAAAACAGAAAGCTGTCTGTCAGTCTGTTACCAGGTTGTACCTTTGGAACCGTGATAGTTAGACAGTTGAAATTTTCACAGATGGTGTATTTCTGTTGCCGCTATAACAACCAATCCTAAAAAGGATATAAAAAACGGTTTAGTGGGGCACCCACAACAGACATGACTTACAGTACGGAAATCTTCAATGTGGTTCTTTAAGTTGATATTACTTTTTTATTTTTGAACCGACAATAAAACTAACACTAAATGTTAAGTGAAGCTTACTACGATGCATTATTGCACCCAAACGCACAGACAATAGACAAAAAAATTAACATTCGTTGTGTTGAGTTCTATTGCGCTGATATAGGCCCCCAATAATAGTTTTTCTCAAATATCTTCCGTGTACAGACAATGATCAGTTACATTTTTATTATATATATAGATGAAATGTTCAACCAGAGCGGATCGCTAGATTATATTATATTAATTAAAAATAATAATAAACCGTGTAGGTGAATAAATTATTGTAAATCCCAAGACTCCTGTTTAAGCGACCAACTGATTATAGCACCTTTGCTACCTCGGAGAAGACTTGGTCGACTTCCAGTGATGAAACTTTGATACCTAATATTCACAATGCGATACGAAGTTCTTACCATCGTACAACAGTAGGGACTTTCTACGTCAGCGAATTCATAATTATATGCATGGAATGTAAGTAGGTTTTTTTATGTACATTATATATATATATATATATTTATATACTAGCTGCTGCCCGCGACTACGTCTGCGTAGAGGGGTGAAAATTTAGGGTTGTATGTATTTTTGTATGCTGTGTCATAAAAAAATAGAAACAAAAAGTTTTATATAAAAAATAAAATAAAAATTTAGGACGAAAAATAGATAGTAGCCGATTCTCAGACCTACTGAATACGCATATAAAATTTGGTCAAAATCGGTCGAGCCGTTTCGGAGGAGTTCAAGTTCGAACCTCGTGACACGAGAATTTTATAAATTAGAAGATATATATATATATAAGGGTTTACCCATTAAATTGCGGTTTTGTATAAAATAAGTTAAAGTAATTCTTTTTCGAACTTTTTTATTTCTGTTATAAGAAGTATATACCCATGCAATCGATGCATCTTTGCCAACGTAGTGGTAGTTTATTGACGCCCTTCTAAATACAACCGATAGACGTGAGGTTGTAGACTCTTCAAACGCATTTTGTACTGCCTCTCGGGAATTGAATATTTTGCATGTTAAAAACTTGTTCAAATTTTGGAAAAAAGGTGGTCGGTAGAGAAAAGTAGAAATAATTTGGCACCCCTCATCTATCAAGCGTTTTGTCAATTTGTCGCAATTGTTTGTTGGTGTTTTTCCAGTGTCTGGGTGATTATATATTTATTATGAGTATTTATTTACAAAAGAAAATGTATGTAAGTAAAGAAATGTATAAAAGTATTTTTATCAGTTACTAGTACTCATGGTACAAGCGTGGCTTAGTTTGGGACTAGATAACGTTAGGTAAAAATGATCCTAATTATTTTATTTATTATTATTCAAATATATATAAATCTATACGTTGAGGGTTCCATACCTACCCATTATAGCGCTATAATAAAGTTGGTAAATCTCTGGTATAAATTTCAACTTGCTGGGTCTAACCGTTCCTGAGAAAATCGGCGGTGACACGCGGATAGACAGATGGACAAGAGAGTGATCTTATAATGGTTCCTTTTTTACCTTTTCAGCTACAGAACCCTAATTAAAAAGCGTAACTTCGTTAATAAATGTTGAAAATGTTTAATAAATATTAATTTCTTTTTTATCGAACCTAATACTTGTCTCTGTTCTATTATATTGTCTCTCTCTATTTTCGTAATCATATCAGGTGAAAATATCTTCCTGATTTGTCTGTGATTTTTATGTAAATATTTGAAAACACATTCGGTTATCTTAATACAAGAAAATACTCTACAAACATAATATTTGTTTCTGACAGCACACAGCACACTTAATATCATTACAATGTTCGCTAAATTATGGTCAATAAAATATTCTGGTTTGAAAATGCGGATTTTGAGCCAAACATGGCAGGCGTAAACGCTATTAATAAATAAAGTAGTAAGGTATCAGCCTATACATGTCCCACAGCTGGGCAAAGGCCAGTCTTTACAGAGGGTATCAGGGCATAGTCCTCCACGCAGCCGAACTGCGGATTGGCAGACTTCACATATCTCCGAATTTTTTTAATTATTATTTCGAAAATATGTAGATTTCCACACTATGTTTTCCTTCACCGCCGAGCACGAGATAATTCAGCACTTGAAATTAATTATTTCATCGGTGCCGGCACCGGGGATCAACATTACTTAGTTTTTGTTAAATAAATCAGTTAAATTCTCCTTGCACGATAACACGTATAACACACACACACACTAAATTATTGGTGCTGGATAAGTATAAATTGATTGACTCTTGAAATATATTTATTTGAAATATAATAGCTTATAGGCTAAGGTAGTTTTGGAGTCAAGGATACTGAAACTGTACGTTAGTGTATTAAAAAAAAAACAATATTGATTCATATCATTGTAATATTTTAACGATCTCTTTATTTTACTTGCGATATCATTATAATATATTATATAGTAATTTTTATTACTAAATTTCATTTGAATGTATTATATTATTTAAAGCCTATACATATCCACTGCTGGGCAAAGGCCTCCTCTATACAGAGGGTATCAGCGCAATATATTACTTAATCATAATGACAGTTATAACAAAATCGTTGTCATAATGAAATTGCTTCCATAAATACTTGTTGCCTGTTAAATATTCCCTGCTGTAAAATTACGAGACCTAGATTTTCTAACCGCAGAATATTATAAAATGTCAAAATTTAATTTCACTGGCAAACTCGATAAACGTGGCAAAGTTGGCGATAGCTCTCCAGCGCTCTCGGAAATTGTCTCGACCATTTTTTTCCAATGGCTATATTTCGCCGCATAGCTTTTAATGTCGTTAGTTGTAATTTATTATTAATGAAACGATAGCGTACACGATCTAATGGATGAGATGTTAAAATTGCACGTTGTCAGGGCTCTCGATGGACGTTTCAAGCGTCTCGGCTGCGGAGCGAGGCCTTTGGTATGACCCTAATGCCGGATCAGTTGCAAGTGATGAATCCGGCAATGGTACTGGTGATGATCCCGGTGTGCCCGGGCGGCGCCTGGCCATTGCTACCCGACCTGCCGCCACTGCAGAAAATGTTCATCGGGGGGATGCTGGCTTCTATGGCTTTCGTCTCGGCTGGCATTCTACAAATCGGCATAGAGGTAGATGCAACAATCTTTCGTTCATTCAGAATTGAATTCCTATTCAGTTTAAAGTACTCTACTGACTAAAATACATAACTTTACAAACAATACAATATATACTAGCTCGTGTGTATAACACTAGCAAGTACACGGCGCTTTACGGTTTCGGAAGAAATAAATTAAGAAATAATGTTTGAAACTTAAAATGTTATAACGTTAAATATGCAGGTTTCCTCACGATGTTTTCCTTCACCGCTGAGTACTTGCTATGTCAGCACTTAAAATTAACAATTTCATTGGTACTCGCATCGAGGATCGAATTCAGGTTGCTCGAGTAAATTGAATTTAAGGCGAGCGCCCGGACACTGAGCTATCACGGCTTTTCTGCCTCTATATTTGTGTTAATAGCTTTCCAATATCGCTTTATAATTGCCCATTTTGAAAGTATTAATATGGATATGGTATGTTATCCTTAAGAGATAAATATATCGCGGGCTTTTCTGTAGACCATATGTGATATTGTGTATGTAAAGATATATGGTGATATTGCGTATAAGATCATTTTGTTATATCTCAAAGAGATTTCGTTGAAAGCTCCCAAACGGCTATTTATTTTTTTCCGACACCACCAACAAATATCATTATTTTTTAGCCAATGTACACAAAAGTTTGACAAATTGTATAGTCAAACCTTCCTCGAGACGATTCTTGCGGATGTAGGGTGTAATAGAGTGATTTCTATACATTGGTGAAAACAGCATGAAAATCGGTGCGAATGTTTGATCGCGAACAGATAGACAGACGCGGAGGGCTTTGTTTTATAATATGTAGTGATAGTGGATAAGGTACTAATAAACATATGATGAATTACCTTTTTAAATAGTTTCATAATACACTAAAGTAGAAACTAAAGTTCTGTTTCTCAGATATTTAGGTTTAATATTCAACTAAACTTTTCAATTAAGTCGAAATCAAAAGTTTAAAGCATGTCAAACTATCATTTATATTGCCACCTTTTTTGCGTAGCCCTTCATTGGACAACATTTTATAAAATATGTTACATTAATATTGATATATCAAATAAACCAATCATCAATCAGTTATTACTGTTTGTTGTCAAGATTTCAAGTTTATTTCAAATAAGGGTGTACGACGAAAAGCATTGAACGCACTCTTGTTTCTTCCGTTTAATTTATCGAACTTTTTTTGCAGACACAGTGCTTTTTACCCGACTGCACCAGAAGGAGGGTTATGTTTTTCGAAAGTATGTATGTATCTATGTATAATTGTTTGGCACGCTCTGCAACCTGAACGGCTTGATGGACTTTAGCTTGAGTGGTATCGTTAGATTCTTATTTACTATGTGGTAACATGGTAACGACACTGGTTATATCAAAATAAAAAATTACACAGAAACGCAGTCGGGTTTGTTAGTTTTTTAGATTATATTCTACTTGTTTAACATATTTTTGATGATAAATTCAAAAAGTTGTCGGTAAATAAAAAGATAATTTATGATCGTCACGACGCGTAAATTGTGCACAAAACCATGGTAATATAAATACATCTACAAGGGCTACATTTATATTGTTTTGGAAATATTTTTATTGTTTATCAAGATAAAAGAAAAATCCTTCGTGAAAGCTGAACTTATCTTGCGGGTGTAGGGTGTGATAGATTGTTATGCTATGTTATTGATGAATTTTGGTTCGCTTGTCTATTACGTATTAGTTACCATTTATATTCATTTTTATGTTAGGTTTTGACTATTGAGTTTGATGTCTTCGATTGCACGAATGTGATTACATGGGCGTTATTTCATGTTTCGGCGTGTTTTGTCCGGTACTGGGTGCTGTCTAGCGCTATGGCGATTCTCCCTAACTGTAATTTCAGTGTGTCCTTAAATTTTTAAAATATCTTAAATTTCATTTATATGTCCCTATTGATATTAAATAATAATATTTTCATTAAATGCTTCAAGACTGCTGTTTGACCTTTAATGGTCTATTAATTACATAAGCAAAACTAGCTTTAAAACACTAACAGGTAGGTAGACCGTTCATAACGATTTACAAAAATAAATAACGTTTTAAAATTCATTTTTGTTATTGATTAATCATTGTATACTGAAAGGAAGGAATCCAAATAATTAGGTAAGGTTTTTAAAATTTTGTATTGTTTTGAGTCACCGTGAAAAATATAACCGACGCTGTCATTCCATTTTTCAATGAAACATGTTATTTTCATTTAGCTCGATAAAATTGTAGGAGGATATTTTGAAATATCAATTGTAAATAATCGTATTTACAAAATAAATTATTGCAGGTCAGTGAAAACTTTTTTCACATAACATTATGCGTGGCCTTTAAGTTGTATCTTGTAATATTCCTCACTTCTTTTATTATGATTCTTTAAATGTTAAACAGCGTTCCACGCTTCAAGTACCAGGACATCAACAAACAGGGTTGGTTGTCATGAACACTTTGGCTTGCCCCGTGGAAATAGCCGTGCGCGGAGAAGGGATCGCTCCAGTGGAATCACATGGTACTGCACTTACTTCGCCTCTGCCCCATCGCAGTCTAGGGCTTTCAGCGAGTTGTCCTCAACATTGTGCAGGACGTATTATTAAGCAGAATGTCGTTAAAGCTAACTTGCAAACGGTCTCTGGAATGGTAAGTAGAGTTACGTATTAACTAGCTCAACCATAGAGAGACTCTTTTCTTCTAATAACATTTATTGAAAAATTATATTTATAGCATAAGCATTATAATTATAGCATAAGTCCCGGAGATTATTCAGTTTCAATTAGAAGAAATATCATCATCTCGATTACGTTTACAATTAAATGCATTCAAGGTGATAATGATGTACTTACTTATGATCTACTTACAGTTTATGCCAGTAATTGTTGGGCAAAACTCTGATGACAAAATAAGATTCTACTTTATGGATCCCAATCCGTTCGGGAAGTCACTAACGGGGAAACCGAAGCTGAAGTAAGTTATATATCTTTTCTGTAACAAATATGTCTTTAAGATAGTCAGTTGAAATTTTTTTCTATGCCTACTCACTATTTATTATCACAATACCATTGAATCACTTTAATTCCATTTTACGATGCACGCTTAACCTGTTAACCATCTTAATAACTGAAAACCTAAAAAGAAATATCAGTTGTTAGTTATAAGCATGTTTCAATCGATAGTCTGTCACTAGATTGGAGCAAAATGTTTTTTTTTACATCCTATTACTAGTATTAGGTGATTAAATGAAATTGCTATTTCTTTTGATTTGTATACTTCTGACCCATCTCTAATTCACATGCAAGGGGTTGAATTTTTATTTTATTTACAAGATTGTCAGTCATGATTTCATTGTCATATTAATCGTTATACCCATTTTTATAGATTATCGATTTAAAAATACCAATTGTCAACTGCTTTTTTCATTTATAATGCAAAAATGTCCATTTGGTCCATAACAAATTTGCCGTGACTACTTTAGTAATTGAAAAGCAAAAATACTTTAAAGGGTTGTCTACGTGGGTGACACCGGCCCCAACAAGAACGTGTCGATTACTGTTGAGACTGAGAAGAGGCTTAATGATATATACTACGTGTCTGATAGTCCCATCGACCATATTGGTGAATCTGCTTACATGTGTCTGCAACCCGGAAGGTAAGTATAATAAGACAGACTGTCAGAATGGTGGCGTTCTTCTTCTTCTTTCATGCGTGATGATGCAGAATTCCGTGCTCCGCAGGGACCATGAACCTGATTTTTAACTGTAGGAATCTTGGCGCTTGTCATGACCTATTTGGTTCGTGGCGTAATTTTTTTATGTGAAAAGTTGACAAACGAGCAGACGGTTCACCTGATGTTAAGTGAAGACTGCCGATGAGGGTTGCAGATGCGTTGACAACCTTTGAAAATTATGAAATTTTTCTTTCAACCATATCAAAACACACAGAACACCACATGTGGTGTTCTTCTTTTTCCTTTTGATTGACTATATGAAACACTTTATCTCTCCGAATATTTTTCCCCTGGTATATTGGACATTTGGTAGGGTCGGTACTTTTTTGACCAAGTTTTGGCTCCTCATTTATTTTCTTCCCGTCGATTGCAGGTAAACGTGACAAACAAATCTATTGTAAGTGTGCATATAGGAGAACGCACCTTGAATGTATTCATGCTGGTAACGGGGCCTGCTAACGAAACATGACGGAAGAAAGACCATTTTTCCTAAATCACTGGTGTTCAAACAAAGAAACACAGTCACTATATACAATATCAGCCTATTGCCGTTCATCGTGCTGCAGGTCGTCACACACCACGTTTTCCTAATCGTGGTGTGCACTCTAAAACGTGTGGGCTACAGCGACCAACAGTAGGTTGGAGACATGGCTAGCCCACTTCCACTTCAGCGTGCTAATTCTGGGCACAATATCGGTAGCTTTAGTTCTATGATGAATGACTTCGTTTCAAATGTTATCTGCTAGAGAAACTGCATTGCGCGTTCCTGCGTCCACGTTTCGGCTCCGTAGGTCATTACTAGGAGGATAAACTGGTTAAAAACTTTAGGCTTGAGGTATTGCGGTATCGACGATTAAACATGCTAGCTTCCTGAATGCAACCCAGCGCATTCTTCGGTTGGTCTCCTTCTCAATTTTGTGCTGGCCTAGTTGTATAGTTTGGCCAAGGTTCCTTCACAACCTCAAGAATACCGCCGTTCTCGACCACTGGTGTCGGGATCACATAACTATTTGACATAATTTTTGTCTTGTGAAGGTTGATACCGAGATCCACTTGCCTCGAAGGATCACTCAAGCTGTTGAGCATGTCTTCCAGATCATGCAGAGATTCTGCCATAATGACAATGTCGTCAACGAATCACAAGTGTGTTACTATTTGTCCATTAAAATTAATGCCCCGTCCATTCCACTCCGGCGTCTTAATGAATTTTTTGGCGAGACGATTCGGTATAATCTCGGGAACAACTTATGTACATACACGGTGGCTTTTCTAAGTGTATCCATTTTTTTAATTAAATTCTAGACATAATAATGTCATACAAAAATGATAATTATTCTAAATCACTCATAAGTAATTAATTACATTTATTTGAACTTACCTCAAAAATTGCGTGATTTATATGCAATTCATTTATTTTACGCGCGATCATTCATCTAACACGCACACAGTTCGTTTGTGTTATCAACAAGTTCTGTTTTTTAGAGAATATAATGGTAATTTTGTTGAAAAAAAAAAAAAAAAGTTTGTTTTTATTTCAATAAACGATTATACTACCCAGTCTGAACCTCCTTTAAAAAAGTCTCCCTGTATATATGGCTCAGGAGTGACATCGGTGTATAGTTTTTCAACAAAATCTTCAGATATATAATATTAAGTAAATAAACAAATATAAAGTATGAATTATAACATAATAATTAAACAACATCAATTAAAGTTGCTTAGTGTTGATTGCTCCAAAACGATAACTTTAGTTTTTTTAGATATTTAGACAGAAAGCGGAGTCTCAGTATTAAGGCCCCGTTTTACGGAACCCTAAAAACATACGTGTTACACTACCTTACAATACCTAAACATACACATTAAACTAAATATCAATAAGTCTCAATATTACATTAATTCTCAATATTAAACTATTTACACTTTTTACAAGATTTATTTTCTGTATCTATACATATATTTTATTTCTACTGCCTTGCTATGGTAAACAACATTTTTAATTTTCTTGCCATCTTCCTATCACTATAAACAGGTTAATGTAATTGAAAGATTACTGTGGAATAAGAACTCCGTAGTGGAAAAATTTTCCGTTCGTTTCAAGCCTTGTTTAATATAATTTTAAATTACGATATAGTAGGATGATTGCGGAGAGCGTACCGCGCTTCAGAGATTTACTGAAAAACTGCCTTTAATGGATGCAACCAATTTGAGAATAAAGCTGCTGAATATAAGTGTAGTTTAAATAAAACTTGGTTATTTTTACATCATAACATCATTGAGGTATAATTAATATAATTATTTTCGTAGTTGCGGGACTGATATTCATTATAATATGAAAATAATATTAATAAACTTTTGCACTTCTTATTTTCTCTATCAGCAATGTCGAAGACAGGTGAAAAAATTAGAATCACAATATATTATTTCCATCATGACAACTCGGCAATAAATAATTTTAAAGGCAGATTATGACCAAGTGCTTATACATTTTGGATTACTACTCAGTACCAACATCATAGTGTACTAACTGGATATCGAATAATTTAGTATGATTCAGTCTGACATTAGATTTGTTTTTAATGCCCATAAAGGTAGAGTCAATCCAATTGGATTGACCATAGTGTACATAATGTATTACCGTGTTTAAACGTATTATCCTCTTCCACACAGGTGACAGGATATTTTTACAAGATTTTGCCCCAACATTATAAAAGTGACATTAAAAGACAACAATTGCGGTGACAGTAATCGCTCATTTCTCTTTATAGATTTTATTCTGGTGTGGTTATAAAAAGATAAACAAGTCAAACGCCCTCTATGACTTAAAAGAGCGGGATTTATTAAGCCCACGGATTCTGTCACAGATCCTATGCCGAGAGTAACTTTACGTAGTCAAAAACAAATGATTAATCAAATAAATGATTTTACCAAATGGTCATACACCAAAACTTAAAAATGTCCAACAATTACGGTTCTGTTTCACTTTTGTTCCTACATTCATCATGTTTACGAAAACAAATCTAATTTTCGATTAATTAACAAATTTCGGAATATTTAATTTTCGGCTTAAATTTCATTGTTTACGAAAATTGTTTAAACCAAGCAACGAAATTCATAGGTATGCGAAACACCACGAATAAGGATAATAAATGCGAATACACACCTCGATCTCACTAAATAGCTTCTGAAACGCACGAGTAAATAAATAAGAAAATCTCAGCATCCAAAGTCCGTGAACTGTGTAAGCATACTCTTAAATATTTGCTAGGAATATAACTAAAATGTCAACTGCGGGTATTCAATATACAGTCTGTAATAAACGTGAAAACATCTGAAGAATTTTTGCTTTTTCGTTTTATACTGGTAAATTTATTCATTAATAGTTTAAAATTGTGAAATGAATTCATCTGAATACCAGTAATGCAAAAGCTTCAGTGGACGTTGCTGTTCGTAAAAGTCGTTGAAGCTATTTGCATTATACTAAAAAAAATGAATTTCTGATACTGGTACTGACTAAATCGTGTGCTGATTTAGAAACTGAGTAAAAATATGCCAAAAAGACTTATATTTTCGAAGTGGACAGACAGTGACGAATCTACGAATTGTTACCGCACCTATTATTACCTTTTGTATTTGTATAACTGATTTTACGCTTTCAGTCGTTAGACTATTAAAGCTTCATCGAAGTCAGAGCTGGTGAGCTAGCCTGAACCCACGGGTTTGATGCCCTCCTCAGTAAGGCCGCGCATGTACTCATGCGTACATTAATTATGGCATATCGCCTACGGACTATCGAGTCGAGGTTCCCCGATGGCTGTGCTGCTAATACTTTAACTTTGCAACTAATTATCCAAAGGAAAAAATTATTAATCCGATCACTACCAAACTTTCAATCATAATCGATCATATATACAGGGAGAATTTACAAGAAGTGCCCAAATTTACACAGAAAGTCCAGACTCGGTAGCACAATCGTTTATTGAAATAAAAACAAGCTTTTTTTTTTTTCAAAAAAAAATTGCCATACTATTCCCTAAAAAACATTACTGTGCACGCACACAAACAAAATAAAAGCGTTGCGTCATAAAACTTCGTTCTCTTCCCCTCCACCCGCCTGCGGTGACCGCTCTATCTATGTAGCCCTTCGTTAGTTTCAATTTGACCGTGACCTAATTAAGGTCGCGCGTGCTATTTTTAGATTTGCTTATCTCTAACGATGTCGAAACAACAACGTATTACGTAACAACAAAGTATTATGACGACCCCTTATCATGACGGTCCTAAGCCCGTTCTAAGTATGAAGGAAAATTGGAATTATAAACTTACTTGTGCTATAATACGCGTTTAGTAACAAACTTTAGTTGTGTGCGTGTCACAATGTAGATAGATTTGGTATCGACATTATTGCGTCGTATACTTTTGAAACGAACTTGTATGCGTGTTAGTTATAAATGATCGCGTAAAATAGACGAGTTTCGTATAAATCACGCACTTTTTGAGATAGGTTCAAATGAAAGTTATTAATTACTTCCGAGTGATTTTAAATATTAATCATTTTTTATAATTCATTATTTATGTTTACAATTAATTTAAATATATATATATATATATATATTTGGTTCGAAAAAAGTTCGTTTTGATTTGAACAAACGATTATACTACCGAGTTTGAACCTCCTGTGTGAATTTGGGCACCTTTAGAAAAGCCTAAAACTTTCAGATTTAAATGGCATGCAACAAGTGCGACCGGGGAGCTCTCTGGTTCTGGTGAAGGTAACGTACGCGCCGGCGGTGTGTACGTCCTGTGCCTACGGGAGAGGCTCGGGAGGCTGGATGCTGCCGTCCTGCATGCTCCCAATCCCCCTAATGAGCTGCACCTTGCCTGGATTGTGCCCCAATACCTTCTCGTCTCGGTCGCGGAGATCATGTTCGCTGTCTCCGGCTTGGAGTTCTCTTTCACTCAGGTATATTATTTGCCCAGTCAGTACTCGTAGAGAAGTCATTAAATATTTATATGTATCGGTAGTTCCATCAGTGTAAGCCTCAGTAACAGTCCACGATTTGGCCTTGCTCATATAAACTGTTTAGACTGCTCACAATGTTTTTAACTATGTTTTAAAATTATATTTAAATCATAAAAAAATTTATTAATAAAACAAAAGATTTAGGGCTGTGGCCTTGAAGCTTTTGTTTCGCCTTTTTATTTTGCATATTGTTTGAAATAATGATGGGAGGGTATTCATTTGTTTTCTCGTCAGGTTGGGTTTATAGATAAATAATGATTATTGTTATATTTATTATTTATGCCCATAGTGAAATAAGTATTAATATTTATATAAATACTTTGGGTAGGTTGCAGAGAAAATATTTTTGACTCACACCTGAGGAGTTACTCGTGTTTTAGGTTTTTTTCCCCAATTATCAGCTGTGCATGCAAGCAAATCCGCGAGCAGCAGCTAACGCCATATACATTTTAAAAAGTGCTGACTAAGCCCTTTTAATATCTTTTTTTTTTAATTTGCATTACTCTATAATAAGGGAGAATCATGAGATAAGGGAGCAGCTTTAGATATGTCATCATACACATACCGGTCTTAATCATAACTTTCCTTCGTACTTCGATGGAGTCGGGTAAATATAGTATACTTCAGTGCATGTAATTTTGCTTTGCAGTACCCTCTCCGGTTGTGACTTTGTTGAGTTTTGTATTCGTTATTAGTCCGCCTCGCTGTCCCGCCGGATTACAAGAATTTCTGAATAAAATTGTTCACGGATGTGTAAATAAAATGTTTCTGCTTCTGCGAAACTAACGTTTACTAAGAGCAAATAGACGTGATTTAGGGATATACCAGCTAAGTTAAACTCAACAAAAAAATTATATTTTTAATATATGAGCGTACATTCCACATCAAATGAAGCATTTTGAATTATTTAAATAAGGAAAACAAACGAACGCAATGTTTGTAAGGATGTTTTCTTTATGATTTTTCATTAGCAATAGTGTATTCTATATTGGATAAAGATCTCTATTAGTTATTAATTTTAAATGACAGACGGTTTCTGAACTCAGTTTCATTCTACCATGACGATAAAATTTATTTTAATAATACATGTCTATTTGTGTTTGATGGTGTCGATCAGATCGGAATATCGTCGTTGTAGACAGTTCAATCAGTTTAATCGAATTTTCAGGCACCGAAGAGTATGAAGACAATAACTATCGCCGCATGGTACGTGTCAGTGGCTTTCGGAAATTTAATCGTGATTTTGATCGCGCAGACCAAAATCTTTGAGTCGAGAGTGAGTTCACGCAATGTTTATCATGTATTTTCTTAATGCAATAACTCTATTTTATAGGGTTAGTTTTAAAAAGCCTTAACATTGTTTTAGTAATGATGTAATATTATTTTTGATTATTGATAATTTTTTTAATAAAAAAAAAAAGAAAATAGATCTAGCACTATCCAACTAATTATATATTTTCGCTTACCGTTTTGGACCCAAATGACTTTTAAAACTAGGAGTAACAATAAAAAAAGTTATTATATATATATATATACATATATATATTACTCGCTGTTGAGGACTTCACGTTGCACACAGACACTGAAGTAAGTGGGCCTCGTTTGGATGAATATTTTTGTATGTTGTATTTTATGCTTGTAATGGTTAATTTGTAATATTCGGGATTTCTTTTTATACTTTCTTTTTGTTTTTTTTTAATATGATAAAATGTAATTTTGAATGTGGATGTATATGAATCTTAGTAACTTGAAATAAATGATAATAATAAAAATTATCTCATATCTTTCTTATATTGTAACAACATAATCAAAAATATGCATCGACACAATTGTGTAATGGCCGCCAACTACTTCAACAATACCTTATCACCTTATGTGTAGTTTGTTTTAGGCGTTTATAAAATTGTGTCGCTATTGTATTCATGGAGTCATTTCGTCTAATGTCGCGCTCATTGTTTGTGAAAATAGGAGTTAAGAAAAAAAATATAAATACAATTTGCCTATTGGAGGTTAAACAAAGGAAGTCAGATTAATATGACAACAACCATCAGTCTTTTGCGGCTTACGTGCTGTACCTGTCTTAGGTTAATTATAAGTTAAAGTCTGAATCAGGTTTAATAAACGTACGCTTTATTGTGACAAGAGCAGACACAGACTATAAATTATATATTCGAAGTTGCATTGATTACGGATGTTTTTTTACTGATTTAAGCTGTCTAATTTTTAGGCTACGGAGTTCTTTGTCTACGCTGTCGCCTTAGCAGTAGCAATGCTTCTATTCTGGCGAATGGCTCAAGGCTACATCAGTAGAGAAATAGAAGGTGATGCATCATCCACTGAGAGCCGTCCTCTTCTCCGTCATAGATCAAGGGTAAGTATGCCAAATTATTTTATCGTATAGTTTGTTATCAATTGAGATTTGAGATTATTTTAATGTTACTCTTGTTTCGTTAACGTACTATTCGTAACAAGGGGAACATGTAAAGTATAGTCAAAAGTAATTTTTGGTTATTATGGACTTATTTTCCAATTTGCTTTTAATTTTATTTGTAGAAAATGTTATTTCATTCTTTTTTATGGTTATAAGAAGTAATAAGTAACTATTTTTATTAATTTATGTGTAAACGTAGTAAAAACGGTTCGCTGTTGTACGAGCGGGCAGGCTCGTCCGGGTAAGTACCACAACCTCACAGAAGACCGGCGTGAAGTGGACGTATAATACTTTCGCGTTGTGAGGTACCGGAGTCCAATTTTCAATAAGGTTGTCAACGCATCTGCAACCCCCGCGTGGAGCAGATGTCAATGGGCGGTATTCTCTTAACATCCTGTGAACCGCCTGCTCGCTTAACAACTATTACATAAAAAAATGTTTCGTTTAGAAATACATTTTCTTTGGATGGGCAACCATAAAGAAGGGTGTTGGGTGTCATTGCAAATGTGGGGAGGTACATCATTGACGTAGTAAGCCCTGTATGAAGTACTGCTCATATATTTGGCGCGTTGCTTCGCAATACCATCATAATGAAAACACCCTTGCAAGCTTGCAAAAGTCAAGAATTTGTTGAAACCAATGTCAGTAGTCCGATGGCCTAGTGTTTCCCGTATTCAGTTTCCTATAGTATTGGTTATTAAGACTGCGCTTTAGAACGCGGTGCCTTTCTCCCTATTTTCACCGTTTCCGATGTAAGGAGAAAATTATTGAAACAGTTTCATTATTTATTGCAACAGTCCGCATATTCATACTAAGTGCAGGGTTATCTTTAAAGTTTATGATTAAATCGAGGGGTTAAAAATATTGGGTTATAGGTGCATGAACAACTCATTTAATCATTATAGTTTAAATCTTTATAATACTCATAATTTATGAGTCAGAAATGTTTAAGTATAGAAAGTGCTCAAAGAAGTATACATTTGGTACTTTCATCTTTATTCGTGTTTATTTATTTCTCCCCATAACATTGTCATTATGTATATTTATTATATTTGTGGCCCAATAAAGGCCGTCTGTAAATGTAGTACGTTTTGCCCATGTAAACCGGCAATTCGATTTATCAATTCTGAACATGCTAGTATTCTGAATTCAACGTTGAAAGTTTACCGTGACTGTGGTATAACGGCTTTAAGGCTTACGTTCGCTTAGTTTTGTAACTAAAATCTTAGTAGATTTCTCGGTTGAAACGGTTTTCAATAACTTTCGATTCTTTCTCATCTGTTGAATGAGCTTAGGTAAACATCAAATGTGTACATCATGATTGTTAAAAGTCATACATAATGTAAAACCTAAAAGCAAACATTTTAATATTACATTCAAGGTCAATCTGGACTAACTTCACCGGCATATCCTACCTAATATTATGTACTTTCTGTTCATATTAGTAAAAAAACAATCCCGTTCCTTTTACCCGTTGTAAAGTTAATTGTGAGCGGCCCTTTACTCTTGGAAATCTATACATATCGTCGTCCTAAATTGAACAATTAAATTATGTTCAATTATTTGCACCTCTTATAAAGTTGTCAACCCGGTGTAATGTAAATGTTCTTACAGCTGCGGCAGGCGTCGACCTCCACCACATTTTCCTACTACACGGACTATTTCTCCAGGTCATATCTGTGCACTCGCTGTCGTCGACTAGTGCTCGCGCGTACGGTGTTGCGGGTGACCAGGAACGAATGGCCAGCGCGTGGCCACCCCGTGCCGCCGTCCGCCTGGCCACGCCTAGCAGTGGCGACCAGAAGGCCACCACACTCGCCAAAGACTAATCCGCGGCACCAACTGGTTGAGCGTCAAAAGCAAATCATTCTAGTATACTTGTAGGCACTATAATTTCGTCACGCTAGTTCCGTTAATTTTGTTTTAATTATACGTTTGCTTATTATTTTTAAAGACTGCGAAATGCAAACTCTTTTGTAACGTCTTTCCATCTCTTCGTAAAGTTTGAGGGACTTTTTCCTCGGCAGCTCTTTATGCTCGGCGGATTACTGAAGCAAGAATTACCAGAGAAGTTCTGAAAGTTTCGCTATTATGACTATTATTCGACTGGAATTTAATAACAGAACTAGAGTAGTCAATGCCAGGTCAGTACTTGGAATGCAAGTTGCATTCTAATTACTTAATACTTTACTCCAATTACAAAGCAACATGTTTCTCTTTAAATCGATCCATGTAGAAAATACAGCAATTAAAAGCGTTCAGATCCTGTTATAACGACGAGGAGATACACCCATCAAGCTTGAGAAAGTTAAGGCTTTTGTCAAACATTAAAAAAGTTATGTTTCTTGCAAAACTTTTAACAATGGCTGTGTTTAATCAAATAATACAAAAAATATTACAGCGAGCAGAAAGAAAAGAAAAAACGTTTTTATAAGGTTATTTTATACCGATGCAAGTTCTCGACACTGTTCGAGAAAAAATAGAAATTGTAAAACAATTCCTATGACGTCAACTTTGGAAATCTGTTTAGATTTAAGTGAAAAAAAAAAAATCGGTAAAAATATTTTATCGATACCAAAACCTTAAACGTATATAAATCCCTGTGGCACCGGGAAACTAAACTTCGTGTAAAGAAAAAGTCTTTCACTAGAAAAGTCATGACTGATAAATTCTTACTTCTTCTTATTTCATCCTACATTAATCAAGTAGTATCAATAAATCATAATGTAATTTCTAGCTAATGTTGCATTCACAAAATTTAATGTTAACAACTAATTTTAACCACAGTTCATTTCTCTTTTTTTTAAATTAAACTGTCTTAAAATAAACAAAAATAATGCTCCATTTACCGGGTAGGATAATATTTGAAGATAACGCAAATGCATTAGTCTATGACAAAGTATTTTATTGTTATTAATAAGTCAATAATCTTATTTTTATTGTACCGTTAGCATATAAAATATTTGTTATTTTTTATTATTAAAGACAATGTTGAAAAGAACGTTTTTGATAATATTAATTCCAAATTATTGGCAAGGGTTGGACTAAAAAATTGATGAATATGAAGATCTTGTTCATTTATAGTAGAATGAATATCCACATCCATTACTGGAATACTGTTATGCTCCTCAACTAACATTTTACGACTTAATATGACATTGGTAGTACTAATAATAAACTAACAGTTTTCATTTACGGAAGTGGCACGCTTTGATAAATTTAATTTAATTTATCAAAGCGTGCTACTTCCGTAACTATTTTTCAGGCTTTATATATTTTGAAATGGTAAGATAGAGCCGGTGGGGCGTCGCGATGCAATAAAGTCCGTGAAATAGTTCATTATTAAACCTACCTCTGCCCCTGAAAATCTTTGAAGGCATGGTTCTACTTGCTTTTTTTTGACGTTTCAAATCTTCCATCTCCAAGAGCTGTTATGAGCTGTAATGGGATCTCATTCGATTGGTTAAGTTGTCCTGCGACTCTTCAGTGCCGATCACACTTTCACTTTCGATCAGGTGAGCCTCCTGCCCGTTTGCCTCCTTTTTCCATAAAAAATGGAAGTTGTCGGCTTATTCCCGATTTGCTTTAAATAATTTGTGAGAAGTAAACGAATAGATTTATTTCACTATTTATGTTATTCTTATTATCCAGTATATTTATTTCACTATCGTCAGCACTCAGAAAATTCAATCGAAAATGATACAAAGAGACATTCAAGTGCGAGTGAGATTCGCGCACGAGGGGTTCCGTTCATTATCTGTAAAAACGGTAAAAAATCATGTCTATTGTATTGGAGCCCCCTTAAATATTTTTATTCTGTTTTTTAGTATGTTATAGCGGCAACAGAAATACATGTGTGAAAAATTTAACTATCTAACTTCATGAAACACAACCTGGTGACAGACAGAAAGACAAACAGACAGACGGAGAAGTCTTAGTAACAGGGTCCCGTTTTACCCTTTGGGTACGGAAACGGAACTAAAAATCAATTAACTCAAAAAATAGTGATGGTAATACCTGTAAGACCATCACTAATTTGTGGTGGGTGTTAGTTTTTTTTGTTTTTTTGTCTTGTGGTTCTTTTTTTTTTTGGGGGTTTTTTTTTTGTGTTCTGAAAATAGTGATGGTAATACCTGTAAGACCATCACTAATTTTATAAGATTATATATTGTTGTCGCTATCTCGGCCAACCAGATTTATCGAATGTCAGTTAAGAACATAAAATCACGCAAGATGCCATTAAAGTTTTCAATAAAATCAATCAGAATATTCCGTAAGCGAAGCACCTTTATTCGTCATCCATTAATAATAATAATAATAAATAAGGTCCTATTTATATATGTATTATATAAAATATTTATTTATATATATATATATATATGTTTATTTTTATCCATAATATTTATTTTATATATGCAATATATATCTATATCTTTATTTTTATTTTTATTTATAAACCCTATATAAAATATCTTTATTCACATAGACGCTTGCGCGTTCTTATGAAACGTCAAAATTTTACAAGAAATTAACACGTTCGTAAGTTACCACCGGTTCGGAAAGCAGTTTCTGTTGAGAAGAAACCGGCAAGAAACTCAACAGTTGCTCTTTTTAAAAAAAAATCAGTTTACAATATAATAGTACATGTACAATAGTCTTGTTTTAGCCTACGCGAGTATCAACAGTATTAACCCCACACATTGGCGTCGTCAAGATATTCGGCAATAGAATAATAGGCTTTAGCCATAAGTTTACTTTTAATTTTTCGTTTAAATTCATCAAGTGGCAGACTTAATATCGACTGTGGGGGATTTTATTATACATGCGCACACCTTGCCCCATGAACGACCTGTTTACTTTTTGTAAACGAAACAATGGCGTAGTTAGTTTGTCCTTATTTCTAGTATTTAGTTTATGTCTGTCACTATTCTTTAGATAACTATTAATATTATTTTTAACATACAAAATATTACAATAAATATATTGAGACGCAACAGTGAGTATATTAATCTCTTTTAAAAAGGTCTCTGAGTGTATTCCGGGCTCCGATGTTATAGATTGCTCGGACAGCTCTTTTTTGAAGAAACATTGAAGTAAATTGCTCTCTGGTTTACGCGGAAAACAAATTTATATTGAAAAATATAGAAATTAACGAGTTTCCAATACGTTTGTAATATATTTTGTAATATAATATAAGTATCTTTAATTTACGAGAGTATCTTCGTTTTACTAATCCATAATAGAGATTTTGTAATAGCTTAGGTTCTGCAGTAGACAAATTAAGACTGATTTTGAATACTATACCAATAAACAGTCTCAAGTTTCTTGTTATAATAAGTTTCCTTTTGCTTTGCTATATATGTTTTTATATGATGATTCTCTTTACTTAGTAATAATATCATGTTGCCTCCCCAGATTTTGTATGGTATACGCTGTTCAAAGTTCTTGGTATCAATAATACAGCTGGTCAAGAAATTTCGGCTGTGGCAAATTTCTCTGAAGCTGGTTTTGACGACCTCTTTGTGAGCGCGGGGTATCCTAATATTGGGGACATACCCCTATTAAATAAAAAAGTAAGGTTTGAACATGGTCTATTATAATATTTTGGCAGGGTTGTGGTAGGGCTACGCGGCAGCCTCGGCTGTTGCACGAATGGACAGCCTTGTCCGGGTAAGTGCCACGACCTCACAGAAGCGTAAAGTACATCGACATAAAAACGATCGGCGTAAAGTGGAAGTATAATAATTTCGCGTTTCGTCGGGTGAGTGAGGTAGCTGGAGCCTGGTTTTAAAAAGGTTGATGAAAGATGTCCATGGGCGGCGGTATTCACTTAACATCAGGTGAACCGCCCGTTAGCAACTTTTCACATAAAAAAAATTTTGAAAAAAATTTGAAAATTCTTTATTTGGTTATTGGAATCGGATATTGAAAAGTCGTTAGCATTATAAAGCCGAGGTAAAAAAGAAATAAGAGTGTTTGGAACATTAGGAGTCCGTTTCATGACATTTAAAGTAAGTACTTTTTTTTTAACTTAATGACGGGTTACCGATACCGGTTAAATTGTAGCCGCGGTGACTACAATTTTCAATCAACATGGAAATCTCTATTTCGCTGCTACGGCTTAAAATGTAAAAATATGGTGCTCTGAGATGTATCTCATATACAATACTGAGATTTATCAAAGATAACTATACATTACGTATTTATATGGTTACATAGTTATCTTTGTAACTGAAAGTCTTGTTTAATAGTTGTGATAATTTAAGCTGTACTCCTACGAACCAAAATAGTTGGGGAAGCAAAGTTTATAGAAGACGAGAAAGGCCGACTCCGTTTTGAAGTGAGACTCCGCATGATATTAGAAATTTCTAGGTTTACTTGCTGCACTGTGTTTAAATGCGACGTTAAAGGAACCTTTATGAGATGAATGTGCCCGTTTATAGATTTACGTACTTCAATGTTTGAAATTGTTTTGGATTGAACATGCGATGTTCAGTGTATACAAGGGCATATATTCAATTTGAAATTTATCTTATCTTAGACATACTCGTACCTTTATCCTTTATAGATTTTATGTGCTCTAATCACTCATTCCCCTATCTAGTAGCACAAATGTTCTTATTTCCTTCAGTTCACCTTTTCCACAAAAATTGTGCACCGTGCCAAGAGCTTGATGGTCACAAAGGATAGATGGCCACATATGTGTGAATCGCAAACTTTCCCAGGTTGGGTGCAGTGGTGATCCGTGATAGCCCATGACGAAAGGCCCCTTTTGCAAAAGTACACTTAAAAAATTACAGATATTCAAAGGTTATCGGGTGTCAGC